CGTTTGGTGTTGAGGCCAGCGGAGGGGATTTTTGCGGCGGCCATTTCGAGGGGAAAATTACCAAAACAATCCTAAACCTATTGCAATTGCGCCAATTCAGTCCTAAACCTTTTTTTTTGCCAATTTAATCATAAACATTTTGCATTTGTGCCAATTCAGTCCATCTGCCCAATTTTGATCGGTTGGCACTAATGTGGACGCCGGCCAGCCGGTTGACGCTGACATGGTAATCTTAAATTTTTTTCAATTTTTTTCAATTTTTTTTTATTTTTTTCCTTTTTTTTTTTGGCTTTGCTTCTTCCCCTGGCCGATCCAGCGACCGACCAGGGGCTAAGGCCGGCGAGGCTTGCCGGCCATTGGTCTAGCAAGGGCGAGCTCACCTTGCTGTCACTGGGCATCGTTGCCCTCACCATGGCCGACCTCGCCCGCGACGACGAGGTCATCGCCCAGCCATGACCAGATCTGGGCAACTTTGCCATCACGGGTAAGGTCGGCCATGGGGAAGGCGACGACACCCAGCAATAGCGAGGTGAGCTCACCCTCGCTAGACCAGTGGCCGACAAGGGGTCGCCCAGCCATGACCAGATCTGGGCGACCTTGCCGTCGCAAGTGAGGTAGGCCATGGCGAGGGCGACGACGCCCAGTGACGACGAGGTGAGCTCACCCTCACCAGACCAGTGGCTGACGAGGTCCTTGCCCCCTGGCTGGTTGCCGGTTGCCAGACCATCCAGGGGAAGAAGCAAAGCCAAAAAAAAAGGAAAAAATTCAAAAAAAAAACTCAAAATTGCCACGTCAATGTCGACTTGCCGGCCAAAATTGGCTGGATGGACAGAATTGGTATAAATCCAAAAGGTTTAGAACTAAATTGGCCAAAAAAAAACTTTATAACATAATTTGTATAATTGTAAGAGGTTTAGGACTATTTTGGTAATTTTCCCCATTTCAGGTTTTACGGCTAGATCTCAAGTTCAAGGGGGAGAGAGAAGAAGAAGAAGATGAAGATGTAAATCATATCTCTAATTTCAAAAGGTACAAAATCCAATAGACTAGCAGAATGGACATCGACGACGAGATCCCATGAAGTAAGAGCTAGAGATCAAGATTAGGAATTCCATGTTACTTCCATTTTTATTGACACCAGTTCATAATGAAAGCCTGCCTGTGTAGACTGCGAATTTCGTAGAACGCAAGACGAGAGTATTTCAACTTTTCTCTCGTTTGAAACGAAGAGATGCGACCCGAGCTTGTTTGATTGGAATTGAATAATCAAACCACAAAAAATTGAAGTTTTACCAAATGGTTTAGGACTACGTTCGCAAAATTGAACAAAAAATTGGACTTTTACTAAATGGTCTAGGACTACATTTGTAAAATTGAACAATTCAAAACTAAATTTGTAGCCTAACAATAGATTTTAGACTGATTTGGTGATTTTTCGAATTTAATTTAGTTCCATAAAAGTTATTCCTCGCACTCTATACGCATTCATTATATTCTAGACATGCATAATAGGGGAATGTTTAATAAATTCACATGCGTGGTCAATTGGGTATTATGCATTTAGGGAATTACATTTTGAATATTTACTTATCTGGAAGAGTTTCATATTTGTGAATTTAAGTGTATTCTCATTTGCATATTTCGGCATATCTAAGAGTTTGCACATTTTTACATATTAGAAGAGGGTGTTGTATTATATTCCCATCATCATAAATGCCATCCTGCAAAAAATAGAAAATTTTCATGAATCAATATTTTAGTGCACATGTAGATCGTCTTACGCGCCTCATTTCCATGTCATGAAAATGAAAATAAAAAACATAATCTCTTTCATATTAATTGATTTAGATTGTTTGTTCATAGAAAATCACGTAAAAATAACTTTAAAATCATATTTGCATTTAAGTTAAAGTTGTGTATTTATGTCATTTGGGGGATAATTGTTCAAAAAATTATACGGTGGCCAATTTAGCTATAAACTTTTCAATTTGGCAAATTTAGTCAAAAATCTTTTGACGATTTGACTAGATTTGCCAATGTAGTAATTTTGGCCAATTTTGTTAGAAAATCGCTAACATAGACATCAATCATCATATTGTGGCATGGTCGGCACTGATGCTGATGATGTTTAAATAAATTCAAAAAAAAATTAAAAACATAAGATGGCTGGTGCTAACAAAAAATCGCCAAATTAGTAATTTCCGACTGAAATTTGCTAGAAGGACTCCATTGGCAAATCATTTAAATTTAGGACTGAATTGGTCATCCTAGATTTTTTTTTTTTTTTTTGAGCTCCAATTGGTCATCCTAGATAAGTTAATGAATTTTTCGACAATTTTTGTTGAGGTTATTTTTTTGGACAATTTGAGTAGAATAAATTTCCTCTTGTTCACAAATTGAGAGTCATAAAATTACTAAATTACCATTTTTACATAGTAGACTTAAAATCCCACGTAGGAGATTAGTTGGATTTTTTTTTCATGTTTAAAAGCTCATTTAGAAAAGTATTTTATTTCAGCAATGTTTTTTTATAGCACGTCACATCTGCATGCACGCACTCGCACGCATATATATTATATATATTTGCTTTAATACATTACTATATTTCGGAATATTTTGTTTTCTATTTTCCTTATAATAAAGGATTGTTTAATTGTTGCCGGCTCGAGTAACTATTTTCTTTCCTTTTACTATTCAATTATTTACTGCTTAACATACTTTTTATGAATTTGGTAACGTTTTAAATGTTTGATTTATTACCATAAATGCATGGACATGTATATACATGTTAGGAAACAAAAATCACTCAAAATTGTATGAAAATTTTTCCTTATAAGAGGAAAAGGTTCCGATCCGTGATTTAATATTTTCATTGGCGAAAACGATACAAACGGTTCCTAAACTTTGCTCTAATGTATAATGTGATCCCTAAACTTTTAATTTATTTGATATGGTTCCTAAACTTTAACCCAATACTCAATGTGGTCCCTGAGTTACATTGAACATTTTCATATAGTTCGGAGACTACATTGAACATGTACCAAAAGTTTAGTAATGACATTGAACAAATCAAAAGTTCAAGGATCTCATTGAACATTGGGCCAAAATTCATGAACTGTTTGTATCATTATCCATTTTCATTGCATGTTTATTACTTCCACAAAGTCATTGATAGTGTGTTGTAAGCATTAATTGTATTCTAGACTTGCTTAATTGGGGCATGTTTAATAAAATCACATGTTTACATTAATTAGGTTTTCTATGTTTAAGGAATTGCATTTTGAGTATTTACTTATCTAGAAAAGTTCATATTTGCGAATTTAAGTGTGTTCTCATTTGCATATTTCGGCATATCTAAGAATTTGCATAGTTTCTAGCAAATTATAATAGGGTGTCATATTAGGGAAAATTACCAAGTCCTAAACACGTTGCACTTGTGTCAATTCAGTTCTAAATCTTTTAATTTGGCCACTTTAGTCCTAAGCCATTTTACAATTTACCAATTCAGTCCTTCTAGCCAATTTAGGCTAGAAATTCTTGACGTTAACGCCTCGCATCCTACGTGACACGACAAGCAATGACTTGAACAATTTTTGTAATTTCTTTAAAATATTGCATTTTTTATTATTTTTATTTTTTCTTTGCATTTTTTTCATTTTGCTTGCAAGGGTCGCAAATGGTTAGTGATAACTTGAGCAATTTTTGTAATTTCTTGAAAAAAATTGAAAATTGAAAATTTTCTTTTTTTCTTTGTTTTTTTTTTTCATTTTGCTGATGAGGGTCACCAATGACCCTTGCTGGCTGGGAAGGCCTCGCCTAGACTGGTTGAGAGTTGCCTTGCTTGTGGTTGGTGGGGTCGCGAAGGCCGTCGCTAGATCTAGGTGAGGGCAACTTCGCCAACTGCCAGCAATGCCACAAAGGCCCTCCCCTAGATCTAGCGAGAGCCTCCGCGGCCTCGCTGGTCGCGAGAGAGTCTGGCGAGGGCCTTCGCAACCTCGATGGCTGCAGGCGAGGTGGTCCTCGCGTAATCTAGGTAAGGCCTTCACAATCGGCGAGGGTCTCTAATGACCCACGCCGGCCACAATAAAGAAAAGTATAGAAAAAAAAAACTTCAAAAAATATATAAAAAAAATTGACATGCCACGTAGGACAGTCAATGTCCATGACAGCGATTTTCAGTAAAAATTGGCCGAAAAAATTTAATTGGTAAATTGTCAAAAAGTTTAGGACTAAATTGGCCAAATTAAAAGGTTTATGACTTATTTGGCTCAAGTATAATAGTTTTAAGACCTTTTTAAGCAATTGTATGATATTTGCATCATCATAAATGCCATGTTACAAAGGTAGAAACTTTCATGAATTAATATTTTATTGGAAGTAGAACATTTAGATTGTTTTTTGGTTTATATGCCTCATTTTCATGACGTGAAAATAAAAAAAAATATAAAATCTCTTTCATATTAGTAGTTTTAAATTGCATCTTCATAGCAAATCACATAAAACTAGCTTCAAGATTGCGCTTGCATTAACGGTAAAGTTGTATGCCTACATCATTTTGAGTAGATTTACTTTCCTCTTGTGCATAATTTGACAGTCATAAAAATGCAAAATTACATTGCATTACCCGTTGAATTTTGGTTAGGCTTTATTTTCATGTTTAGAAGCTCATTTGAGGAAAGTAATTTATTTAGGGTGCGTCTTGGTATGCATCTTAAATCTGCATATTTATATTTCCTTTCATGAATAGTCTATTTTAGAAAATTTGCATGGACGGTGCCCCGTCCTTGACGGATAACAGGTCTTATTCAATACTCGCTTGGAAATGCATATGCATGTTAGGAAATAAAAATCACTATGGATAGTTTTCTTCAAAAGATAAAAAGTACCAATGTTATCCGATGCATTTCTTCATTTGGCTTCTCCTATGTACAATATGCGCTACAAGTTCAACTTTCACTCAGAAGCAAAAAGCATTTCTCCGTTTCTTGTGCAAATTCGAGATGGAAGACCAGAAATGCAGATTGTCGCCGACCACATTGACGATTTTCATTCTCTGTCTCATTTACATTCTAAGCATTTCCCCTGCTAATGTTGCTATTGCAGTAGCTGATACAACAAGCGCATTGTCAACTTATATTATCCAAGTACGAAGGCCAACGGACAAACATTTCTCTACTTCAGAGGATCTCGATACTTTGTATCGGACAGTTTTACCTACAACAGCAACCAGCTCTAACCAAGAGCAAAGAATGGTTCACTCATACCGACATGTGATATCCGGGTTCGCGGCCAAATTGACGGCCGAGGAAGCTAAAGCTATTAGGGAGAAGGACGGTGTTTTGTATGTGCGTCCGGCGAAGGCGCTCTCTCTACACACAACTCACACCCCCGACTTCTTGGGATTGCACCAAGGAGTCGGGCTCTGGAAGGACTCGAACCTCGGTAAGGGCGTGATTATCGGAGTATTGGACACGGGGATTTTCCCCGACCATGCTTCCTTCAGAGACGAGGGGATGCCTCCGCCCCCCGCCAAATGGAAGGGCAGGTGCGACTTCAACGGCACGTCCTGCAACAACAAGCTCATTGGTGCAAGGTCTTTCATGGGCGACAATCCGCCATATGATGGTGTGGGCCATGGCACACACGCTTCCAGCACAGCTGCCGGTGCTTTTGTGAGGGATGCTAGCGCGCTCGGTAATGCCAAAGGCACGGCCATAGGCATGGCGCCTCTTGCGCATTTGGCAATTTACCAGGTTTGCGATGGTATCGAGTGCATAGAAAGCAGCATATTAGCTGCGTTCGACGCAGCCATCGAGGACGGTGTCGATGTGCTTTCCCTCTCTTTAGGAGGAACTTCCCAACCGTTCTTCGCCGACTCTCTTGCGGTGGGTGCATTTGCCGCCACCCAAAAGGGCATTTTTGTCAGCTGCTCGGCGGGGAATGACGGGCCAATCAACAGCACAATGTCAAACGAGGCACCTTGGATTCTCACTGTTGGAGCGAGCAGCATCGACCGCAGCATAAAGGCCACGGCGCGGCTCGGAAACGGGCTGGAGTTCGATGGGGAGACCTTGTACCAACCGCACGACTTCCATCCGGCACTACTGCCCCTTGTTTATCCGGGAGCAAATGGAGATATAGACTCGGCCCACTGCACTCCCGGAACACTAATAGATCGCTCGGATCTCCGTGGAAAAGTGGTTGTATGCGACTTAGGAAGTGTGCCAATCGCGCAAGGTCAAGAGGTCAAGGATGCAGGTGGCGCGGCCATGATCCTCGTGAACAGTCCCATTGAGGGATACACCACATCTGCCGATGAGCATGTCCTACCCGCCGTCAATGTGAGATATGTTGCAGGAAGAGAGATCAAGAGCTACCTACGCATGGCGTCAGTGCCGATGGCCACCATCCTATTCAAAGGCACTCACATCAGGAGATCGGTCGCCCCAGCTGTAGCGTACTTCTCTTCCCGTGGCCCCAGCATCCAAAGCCCAGGCATCCTCAAGCCGGACATCATCGGCCCGGGCGTGAACATTCTCGCCAGTTGGCCATTTCCTTTAGACAATTCTGCGGACAAGAAGCACGCATTCAACGTGATATCCGGGACCTCCATGGCCTGCCCCCACCTCAGTGGTGTGGCGGCACTGCTCAAGAGTGCGCACCCCGACTGGTCGCCAGCAGCCATCAAGTCCGCCATCATGACCACTGCCGCCACTTCCAACATGGAGGGCCGACCCATCGTGGATCAGACGCTCCATACAGCGGACATTTTCACCACCGGCGCAGGACACATCAACCCATCAAAGGCCGTCGACCCGGGTCTCATTTACGACATCGGACCAGGAGATTACGTTCCTTATTTTTGTGGGCTCAACTACTCCGACTCCGACATCGAGCTCATAGTTAAGAAAAAAGTCACATGCTCGAGCATAAGGAGCATACCCGATTACCAGCTCAATTATCCATCGATCAGCGTGAGGTTCGAGGGTTCGGTGACAAAGGTGAGTGTGACGAGGACGGTGAGAAACGTTGGACCTGCAAAGTCGCATTACAAGTTGGTCATCGACCCCATCATGGATCATGACTCAATTAGCGTGTACCCGCGTGAGCTGGTGTTCACAAAGGCGAACCAGACAGCGAGTTACAAGGTTGACTTTTCAAGGAAAGCAAAGCCGGCGACGCCATTTGCTCAGGGGGCAATCACGTGGGTCTCTACTCAGCATTCGGTTCGAACCCCGGTCGCTTTTGTGTTTGAGTAATTGCAGGGAGTGTCGGTGATTTCTATGGTTCAGAAAATGAATTTGCCTTTGAGAACTTTGTCATTTTACACCTCGTATTTATCTTCATCCGTGATTTCACTATTTCTTTACAAGGGTTAATTTAGATTTTCGCTCCGTCAGGGAAATTCGATCAAATTTTAATTTAAACATTGCCACAAAGAAGTACGAAAATTTGGATGGTTATCCTCGTCATATGAAAAGATTGAAAATTTTAACATGATTTTTATGACGTAGAGTTGATAAATTTCAAACGACCACCTAGTTAAGAGCTTTAAGATTTATTATGTATGTATCGAAAACAGATCAACTTTGTCACACATGAATAATAAATGTGTCATGTGGACTTTATTTTTTAAATCCATTTACGACACGTTTAGACATATTTGAGTAGTCAAGTTGACGTCAACACAATTTCTGATGAGTTTATAGCCAATTTGATGCAACTGCGGTTAAAATGTAGTGTATTTGTTGTGCTGTGACCGCACTTGTATGCTTGTTAATTGATAAGTTCTAATGCTGGGTATGGGTGAGGCAACTTCTTAGCTACAACTTTGGACGTATTTGCACGAGATCTTATAAAAGCAGTAGTACCCATTTTTACAAGAAAAGTTATTACGGGAAACTTGTATAAAAATATGTTTAATCCATTTCTGCATATTTATACATGGAGCTCTTTTTGTAAATTGCCTTGTCGTTTTCAATTTTGAGTTCCAACGTTATGATGATTAATGAATGTGTCGGGTTTGATCGACCAGAGGAAATTGACAAGATGATAAGGTTTATATAATAAATAAGATTGCGTATATATCTTCCTTCCTTTTAACGTGCCTATCTTGATTGATATTATCTTAGATAGTTATATAATAAAACACAAATTATATACTTTTCTCTTCCACATATTATATTTCTTAGCTTGATATCAGAGTTAGTCGATCCTGAAGTGCATCCGGTGTCCACTTGAGTGTGCATATGTTGCTGATCTCCCATCTTGTCATTTTTTTTCTTGTTAAGTCCTAATTTACTCCGGTCAACGTCGATTTCAACATTAATCGTCTCGTTCGATAGCCCATGTCGACATGTTCTATTGTCACATAATCTGCATAGCCCTGTTATTTAAGGAAGCACCATTGAGTATGTTTCGTAACAACGTCAGCCACATAGGCCACGTTTCTCCATGGTGGAGTTCACAACGCTAGCCGAATAGGCCACGTCGCTTCCGTTTCTCCATGATGGTTGTCATGACGCTAGCTGCACAGGCTGCGTCTTTCAATAGCTATTTAAAAAGCAAAGCCAGTTGCATCAGACGCGTTCATCCAGTTACTATTTTCGTTAGCAAAGCTAACCATATTGGCCACTTGTTATTTTCCTTTGATTCACAACTTTTAGTTGCTCATATCGGAGAACCGACACAACTACCAAAGCCTAAGTGTTTTTTAGCTTTTTTATCCAAACTCAATCTGTCGCAGGGGATGTTAGAGATAATTAGGATATTTTGTTACAGATCATTCGAATATTTCTATTCTTTCTCCCTACCTCTCAACATTGCGCGCATAAGTCTTTTTGATTGTGTATATCTTAATTGATATAATGTATTCTTCTTCAAGAGATGTCGAGAATATACACAAATTTCATACTTCTCTCTTCCACATATTATATATATTATCTCTCTATGTGCCCTGATTTTGCTTCTCTCAATTGAGGAAGAAAGAGAAAGGTTTGGTGAATGTGGACCGGGATTAGGCTAATGGTTGCTCTTGTTGGCTAGGCCTGGGCTGTGCGAATTGGACCAGGCCCTCTCAATTAGGACCGAATTGTTGCCCTTTTTATTATTTTCTCTCTCTCTCTCTTTTGTCTGTGATTTATTTTTTGTACAAAAAATGCATATTTAATTTGCTGGCAAAAATTCTAGTGTCAAAAATACTCACATATAGTATGTGACAATTCTCGATTTTCTAACACTCATTTAGTAATATTGTACAGTCAAGCGACAGGAAGTCGCTGTTTGTATTATGATGATGCCCGATAAATATAACCGATGGCCATTCAAGAGACTCATCACACTGTCAATAAGTATGTATATCTCATGTCATAATTTTACGGACTCCCACTTCTGCTTTTTGCAAAATTCACTCATGTTTGATAGAAAATTGGGAAGATACATGCTCCCTTGAACAAATTTTTTTTATTTCTAATCATTGTAGAGTCCTCAACATGAACTATCTCATATACGTTCTTGATGTCCTTGTTATGACGCAGGAATGTGCTTATCATGTGTACATTATGCTTGCACTCCACTCTACTACGATTTTGAACTTTCTAGAAATGCAACAAAGACCTCCGACTATTGACATTTATCTATCGATAGAATTCATAGCCATTGGCTCAAGAGAGGGTCTACAGATAGTTCGTCGTTGCTCGATCGCAAAGATAGTCTAGAGTCATGGATGAAAACATAAAACAAATGTTCAATATCTCGAGTTCATCTATTAAAAATAGGCTGACCTACTTCTTTCCATTTTTTTTTCTATTGAAGCATACAATATTGCAAAAAAATTTATGCTCCTCTACTAAGGTCGAGTTTCTAAAATAAATAATTTCACCGCCAACTTTCACGAGCATAATACAAAACTTTTTAAACCTTATAATATGTCTATGAGTTTCAAAAAAAAAAACAAATTGTACAGAAGCTGACGTCAAAATCATATATGATATTTTTATCAAGATAGTGTTTTCTTAATTTTTCAAAATTCACAATATTATTTTGTACTCAGGTCCGTGACTTGTTCACCTTTGATAGGGTAATGCACACATTTGTAGTCTTTCGTTATTTTATCTATCTTGAATACACTATATGCGGTGCCATCTGCTATTAGCATGGCCTGAACACAAAGGGTCAAGTGCATCTCATCACTTAGTCCTAGGGGTGAGCATCGATCCAGGGTCAACCCTGGACCGACCTTAGGCAAGCCCAACCCAGCCAATCCTGGTTTCAGTTCCTAGGGGGATTAGCTCGGTCCTTGGTCCTAAAACCCTTGGACCCTGCACTGTGCGGGTTCGTCCTCGATCCTAAGAGTTTAGGGTTGATTCAACCCGAACCAATCATGTATATATTATATGTTTTATATGATATGTTTTTTGTCTACTCTAAACCCTAGTGCCTCTTCCTTTGTTCTCTTATTTCTTATGTAGTTTAATTTGCCATGTAAATTAGAAAGTAGAAAGAAACCGAACCCGAATTCAACCAAGAGAAAAATAGAAACCCTCTTCACTCGCCTCGGCCTTGCTCACCCGCCTCAGTCTCTCGCCTCACTCACCTCTCTTTGCTTGCCTTGCTCGCCTTGCCGCTGGCCTCTGCTCACTCGCCTCACCACTCGCCTCTAGCCTCTCCTTACTCACCTCATAAGCGCAACTCAGCTGGACAAACATACTTTGTTAAGTATTAATTATGTGCGTTATTTTTTTTTGTTTTCAAGTGTTCGGAAGTTAAAACGATCATTTAAGAATGAACAAGACATGAAATTGTATAATTCATGATTTATACTACGTATTTTGAACTTCCTATGGTTTAATTATATTTCACGTGTTCGTTTTCATAGTTTGTTGCTTTTAGCAAGTGTGAAATTTATGTTGTTACCTTATCTTATATTTATGTTTATGTTTATAGTTTGATTGCTCAATGTCGCATCGTTGATAGATATGTAAATTGAAATAGTTTGTGTCCTTTCAAGGAATACAAAAAATGAAACCAAAAAAAAAAAAATCGGTTTGTACCGGGTTTACCCTGGAACCAAATCGGACCCATAAGGTCGGTCCGGTCTTTGGTCCCAAGCTCAACAGGATCGGTCATCAGTCTCAAAAATCGGGAATCAACACTGTACAAGTTGGTCCTTTGTTTAGGTACTGGACCGGCCCAATTCGGACCATGGTCACCCCTACTAAATCTGCTGGTCACTTCATCACCGCGGTGAGCAACAACACCATGACCACCTTAATGTGGACCGGTTGCCATCGACCGATACCGAGACTGTTGCCATCGCTCTCATCCTCACCAATCGCCAACTCTTAAAAGACCAGAGTTTAATATGACCCGTAACGAACATCCGATTTGATTCGGGTTTCGTTTTTCTTAGCAGGTCTTCGTCCTCCGCAGCCCACTGGATATTAGGAACATGAAATAGGTTTTTGCCGTCGTCCCCCAATTGACAAAACCTTTGGTTTTCATTTTTTCAAAAAAGGCCAAATACTCCAACAGCAAATCAGATAACTCCACCTGACCACCCACCACTACAGACAGATCTCGCCCCATCACATTTGGCAACCGTCTAACCGTTGAGCTCCACCAACGCTTGTACCAAGCAGATAGGAAGGACTTGATTAAATCAATTTAATAAGTTTTAGGACTTAATTGTACTTTTCGAAAATTTTAGAACTCAATTGCACTTTCATAACAAGTTTTAGGACTCCTAATACATTTATCCATTTATTTTTATAGCCAATAATAATATCTAAATGAAACCAAATCTTCATTATTTGTACAAAAATGACCTCTAACAGCATACATGAACATATATCAAACAATTTCAAACCATGGACAGCTCATATAATCATGTACGCAGCCCATTCAAGGCATGAACAACACTTACGATCAAGAATTCAGCATGTAGTGAACACGCACAGCGATATAGCCCTTAATCCAACATGTTCAGTCGGCAATGGAAATGATACCGTAGGCATGTGCCATTGTTCCAGGCCTCCAGATGAAATTATATGGTACACATTAACAAGAAGCCAGTCAAGAGTATAGCCCCACTTGCATGGGCCTTGCTCTTCAAAAATAAACTTTGTCAAGATATCTGACCCAGACTTAAACTCACGCTTCAGGATACTCAACCAGAATGTCACAATCTCTTAAACATGCATGGATTACTCATGAACTTCATTTAGATGAGAAGCAAGAACTCGAAAGATGAGGGAGCTTT